GGTTTTATATCTGGAAGATATATGAAGAATAATATTAGACAAATTGTGAATTTATTGGAATATTTGGACAAGAATAACCAAGTGCCATCGGCCTTTATTTTTTTAGATGCGGAGAAGGCCTTCGATAAATTGGACTGGCAGTTTTTAAATAAAATATTGGACTATATGAATTTTGGAAATCAATTTAAGACGGCTATAAAAGCGATTTATCAAAAACAATCTGCTCAAATAATTATTAATGGAGATCTGACAGAACCTAGATATACAAAAAGGTACCAGACAAGGCTGTCCACTTTCTCCATTATTATTTGTATTGTCTTTGGAAATTCTGTTGTCTAGAATTAGAGAATCACCAATGATTAAAGGCTTAAAGATTTCTACTAAAGAATATAAACTTAAAGCTTTTGCTGATGATTTAGTTTTTACATTAACTCAACCAATTGAGTCATTGGAATTTTTGTTGCAAGAGTTATATCAGTATGGTAAAGTGGCTGGATTTAAAATCAATGTGAATAAGACTAAAATTCTTACAAAAAATATGATTGCTAAAGGTAAAGATCAACTTATGCAGATGTCAGGATTTGAAGTGGTCAATAAAGTCAAATATTTGGGAATTTTCCTGTCATCCTCCAATACAAAATTGTACCAGAATAACTATGAAAGATTGTGGAAATTGGTACAAAAGGACTTATCAACGTGGAAAAAACTACAGCTTTCATTGCTGGGTCGTATAGCGGCCATTAAAATGAACATTTTGCCTAAGTTTCTTTTTTTATTTCAGATGATACCTATTTTAAAAAACGAAATTAACTTGAAAGAATGGCAAAGAGATTTGAATCGTTTTATCTGGGAAGGCAAGAAGGCGAGAGTTAAATTTAAGATTATGCAAGATACCAGAGAACGTGGAGGACTTAAAGTACCAAATTTGATACTTTATTATGATTCTTGTGCATTAACGTGGATGACTGATTGGATTAACTTGTCCAACAAAGGGATTTTGAATATCGAAGGATGGGACTTGTACTTTGGATGGCATGCTTATCTTTTTATGCAGAAAAAAATTGATAAAACCTTCAGAAATCATATAATAAGGGCTGCATTGTTAAGAGTTTGGCAAAAATACTTCTTCAAGCTTGATGTTAAGCTACCACTCTGGGTGATACCATCACATATTTTTCAAGCTATAACCAGAGGAGTGGTGATGGAGGGACTTACATATAAAGATTTGTTATACCAGAGTGGTGGTGGCAATTGGTGCCTAAAATCAATAGAAGTTTTGAAGCAAAGTAATCCAAATTTCTCTTGGCTTTTGTACAGACAAATTCAAGATAGATGGCGAACTGATAAAGACTATTTTTGCTATGGAAGATGGGATTTTTTTGAAGCAAGTAAGAGATGGTGCCAAAGGACATATTAAAAGGATATACAATGTTTTATTAGAATTGGACTCAGAAACTGAATTAAAGATTGTATGATTAAATGGGCTCAAAATATAGGAGAAACAATACCTATGGATACTTGGGAGTTGATCTGGGTGAGAAATGTGAAGTTTACACAAGCTCAAAATTTACGTGAGAATTTTTATAAAATGTTTTATAGATGGCACTTGGATCCTTCAACTATGTCTCGTATCTATGTGAATTATGAATCCAAGTGTTGGAGGTGTGGGCATCCAGATGCAACTTTTTTTCATATGTGGTGGACTTGTAAGGTTATTAAGGCCTTTTGGGTACAATTATGGTGGAACCTACAGCAGATTTTTAAAAAAAGGATTATTTTCCTTCCACAGTTGTTTCTTTTAGGTATTGTACAACATTTAGATGCAAAAGAAACAAATTTGATGCTTTACTGTTTATCTGCTGCTCGATTGCTGATAGCCCAAAATTGGAAGAGCCCAATTCTGCCCACGATGGGAGACTGGAGATTGAAAGTTTCGTACCTTGCTGAAATGGCAAAGATTTCGGCTTATTTGAAGAACCACTCGAACGAACAATTTTTATCAATATGGAGATGGATTGTTTATATTCAAAAGAAACACAGAGTGGTAGAATATAATTTAGGTTTCTAGATTTTTCTTAAGTTTGCTTATGGTTTTTATCCTTTCTGGTAGATTAAGACACTTTGTCGAGTTAGAGATATTAGTATTTGTTTACTTTTATATGAATTTTATCCTGGGATTAGGTTTGGGAAGTCCGGGGGGGGGGAGTTGGGGGATTTTTGATTGGTTATTGTATTTACTTATGTTTGTTTTTTATGATGGAAAAAAATAAATAAAATTTCTTTAAAAAAAAAAAAGATTTAAATACTTTAAGGTAATTAACTCTGGGAAAATTTTAACCAGTAAGAATGTTTTGAACATTGTAGGGAAAATAAATTTAAATAAGAATTGTAAACAGGATTCATGACGAGGCAACCAAGATGACCAGATAGAAAAGAAGCATACTGATGTGATTCTTATTGGTAGAAATTTTAGAAAAATCTTTATATTTGTTACCTATCAAATTAGTAAGAATTGTATTAATTTAAGGTTGCAAAGGATATTATTGAAAGAGAAAATCAAATAAAGCTATTATGTGGACTTTGGAATACAGAAACTGTGATTACTTTGTAAAGATAAACCCAGACATGCTGTTTACCAAATATCAAGGTGTTTTTGTTAAAAAATCAATAAAATATATTTTAAAAAAAGATTGCAGACTTTGGAATGGGCTACAAGACTATCGCCAAGCAGCTTGGTGGGAAGGTGACAACAGTTGGTGCAATTATTTGCAAATGGAAAAAACACAAAATAACTGTCAATCTCCCTCGGTCTGGGGCTCCATGCAAGATCTCACCTCGTGGAGTTGCAATGATCATGAGAACGGTGAGGAATCAGCCCAGAACTACACAGGAAGATCTTGTCAATGATCTCAAGGCAGCAGGGACCAAGAAAACAATTGGTAAAACACTACGCTGTGAAGGACTGAAATCCTGCAGTGCCTGCAAGGTCCTCCTGCTCAAGAAAGTACATGTAGAAGCCTGTCTGAAGTTTGCCAATGAAAATCTGAATGATTCAGAGAACTAGGTGAAAGTAGTGTGGTCAGATGAGACCACAATTGAGCTCTTTGACATCAACTCAATTTGCCATGTTTGGAGGAGGAATGCTGCCTATGAACCCAAGAACCCCATCCACATCGTCAAACATGGAGGTGGAAACAGTATGCTTTGGGGGTATTTTTCTGCTAAGGGGACAGGACAACTTCACCGCATCAAAGGGATGATGGACGGGGCCATGTACCGTCAAATCTTGGATGAGAACCTCCTTCCCTCAGCCAGGCATTGAAAATTGGTTGTGGATGGGTATTCCAGCATGACAATGATCCACGGGCAAGGCAACAGAGTGGCTCAAGAAGCACATTAAGGTCCTGGACCTTATTCCCATAGAAAATCTGTGGAGGGAGTTGAAGGTTCAAGCTGCCAAACATTAGCCTCGAAATCTTAATGACTTGGAGAGGATCTGCAAAGAGGAGTGGGACAAAATCCATCCTGAGATGTGTGCAAACCTGGTGGCCAACTACAGGAAACGTCTGACCTCTGTGATTGCCAAGAAGGGTTTTGCCACCAAGTCATTTTTGCAAAGGGGTCAAATACTTATTTCACTCATTAAAATGCAAATCAATTTATAACTTTTTTGAAATGTGTTTTTCTGGATTTGTTGTTATTCTGTCTCTCACTATTAAAATAAACCTACTAATACAATTATAGACCGATCATTTCTTTGTCAGTGGGGAAATGTACAAAATCAGCAGGGGATCAAATAATTTTTCCCTCACTGTAGAAAAGGACTAGCTGCAGAAAGCATAGACTGTTTTTTTTTTTATGGTGCTGCCAAGGTCAGATAAAAAGGTCGCTTCGGGAACTTTGCCATCATGCCTTGAGAGTAAACTGTTAAGAGGCACTGCAATTCGGCCTTTCATTGTCATCACTCCTCAGCAGCACATAGGGTATAAATTTTCTATAGACATTTAGTCAATTTGCAGTTTATGTAAGATAAATTTCAGTTAGTCCCAACTCGTAATTGAATAAACTGTAAAAAAAAAACACTAAAATTCTACCTAAGTAATCCACAATTAAGAACACAGGCTTTTAGGATGCCATATTCAGAGAATGCTGAAGCACACTTAGTTTAGCAACTAAAACTTAAAGTTTCATAAGTCCTGGGAAAAAAAAGTTCACAATTTCAGCACGTTTTCATATGCTGCTTTCAAAATTCTTAAAGGGATAAATACAGAGATAAATATGCAAAATAGTTGTTACAGAATAAAATGGCTAGTACTTAAGACATTGCAAATGCTCCATTTTAAAATAGAATCTTAAGATTGGCTTAAGTTATGGCTTGTTTCAGCCCCGTGACATTAAAATAACTGACAAGTAACATACCATTTTGTGGAAAGCGCAAACTCAGATTACACACACTGAAGACATCAGTTGTTTTATTTTTTTATTTTTTTGTAATATATTTTATTGAATTTTTTAAAAAACATAAATTACTTACCGTAATAATTGGTGAACAGTGTGTTGTCTGGGTTACATTTGTAAAACAATCATTAACAATTAATTTCTATAATCCATATTCCACATAATTTTAGTTGATTTTTTCTTTCCCCAAAATATCCTCTTTTGCAAACATTGAATTAATACAATTCTTATTATTTTGATAAATAACAATTGAACATATAATTTTTTCCAATATTCCTAAAAATAATAATCATATCAGTATAATATTTCTTTTCTATTCAGTCATTCTGGTTGCCTTATCATAGATCCTGTTAACAATCCTTATTTTAGTTTATTTCTCCCACCAAATTCTAGATATTCTTACTGGTGAAGATTTTCTCAAAAATTAATTACATTTACATTTACAAATTTAACTCTATTTTTTCTGTATAAGCCATCTCACACTTTTACATTTCTTAAGAAATAGATAAAACGATGAAAAGAAAAAGAAAGGAGAGCAAGAGTAAAGAAACATAAGAAATAACATACTACTTAAAATATATATCCCTCCTAGGCTAATATATATTTCTTTTTCTCTCTGCTTCTCGTCACTTTTTGTCTCTCCAGTTCTAGTGTTTTCCCTGGTATCTCTGTAGTACATTTTATCCAGTCTTTTTTTTTGTCCTCAAGTTTATTTTATAGTGTTGAAATATAAGTTGTTTTTTCCAAATATAGTATTTCTTGTAAATTTTTTCCACTCTCCTTTCTTTTTCTTTTACCCAGGGTGAAGTCTTCAGAACATATATTTTTCAGAAATCAAATAAAATATTTTTCTCTCCTTATTTGAAGCTCTGGTTTTAGCAAAAAAAAAAACAAAAAAAACCAACAACACCAAACACCTTGTTTCAGACAATAGTCTAATTTTAAATTATATATTTTTTCAGGTATTCTAGAAAGTTGTTTGAATATACATAACTATAAACAGATACTTCATCACTTTCCTTTGAGTGATTTAATAAATAACAACTAATGTAATGTGCTGAATTTGATTATATATAATATGGTTGATATATGCCTAAGGCCATGTGCTTTTCAGTTTCTGTATAAAGGTACATCGCTGCTATCTAGCACATTAAATGAATGAAGCAATATTCCAATTTGAAATATTGAAGTAGAAATGTAATTCTACAAGTACCCACTATAGAATTCTGACAAAAAATCAAACACCTGAATTGTGCTACAGTTGTGTAGCACTACATAGTTTTTTCTTTCTCTCAGATGTATATTAAGACTTTTAGAACCGCTTATATTTTACATGTTTAAGCTAAGCCGTATTTTACAAGAAAATAATTCTTAATTATGCATATATAGTATAATATATCCCATATCGTTTATTTGTGCTGTTCATACTTCTATTACTGTTCCAAATGTATTTTTGAAATAGTTATAATTTGTTTTTTTCCTGATAAGATTTTGTTTCAAACAAAAGGACAAAGAGATAGAAAGAAGTAGGAATGGCATACTATGAAAGGAACCATTTCCCCCCAGAATAAGAGTAACAACCTGACATCTTCAGATAATCTTTTTAAAAAGCAGTTTCTTTCTCTTCCTCCTTCTCATGGATCAAAATCAGAACTAATGTATCTTATCTTGTATAGAGAAAAGCTTTGTAACCAAGACTAACAGGAAGCATATATTTCCTAAGCTAGATTCAAGTCCATAACATTTTTTAAAAATAATTTTTTTTACTATCAGTTCAAGTTTCTCAAATTCTCATTAAATTTGTAGTGATCCAGAAGGCAAATGATCATTGATTATCTCCACTGTCCAGTTCTATAAAAAGAAATATGAAATGCATGACGATGAACTACACTCTAAATGTAAGAATTATAACAAGTAATATGCTTATAATATGCATTGCATCAGAACGTAATAAAAATATTAAGCTAAGCATTATTGAACAATAAAAATATCCCAACTTGGCCTACAATCAGTATTAAAGACAAATGAAATGAATCACTAAATGTATTAAATTTGAATTTCCAAAACAGTTAAAAACAGTTTCCTAGAACAAAATATAATTATTTGTATTTCTGTTTTTTCCATTCTTTTCCCTAGCTCATTTTCATTTTACCTTCCATGTATCATATTTATTTCTTATGGAACTATTTGTAATTATTGTTCTGACTGAAAGAACAAAATCCATACTACTGTACTGAATTCTAATGATAAGTATGTCACATATTTTCTAATCTAGAAAAGACTCAAATTATGTAATTTTGAGATCAATGCTCTATGCAAACAACAACCATGTAAGTGCTTATGTGGTTTCTCAGATACTTAAATGATATAAAGGTAAAAATAAAACATATCTGTCACTAAGTCTAGATTTACAAAGTAATACTTTGTTCCTAGAAAAAGAAAAATCTCCAAAATTACCTACCAAGTAAAATTGTCGTTTCACACAGATTTTCTTTTAAAACATTATTTAATGCAACTGAGCTAATAGAGGATGCTGATAAGCCACTTGTTTCGTTACTATCTTCCTCTATAGAAATATTCCAGTTCTCAGTTGGTATGTTACTACTCATTGATTCAGGCACTGCAACTTTTTTAGATTCTCCCTTTAAAGTTAGAGAAAAAAATCATTAATTACTATGGAAGGGATAGAACCTGAAGAGAAGAAGTTTAATTGATAAATTCCAAGAATAAAATTATTAAATTTGATGGAATCAGACTTTATAGTAGTTGAAATCAGCAAAATGACAGCTTATCCACTGCTTAAGAACATCTCTGAAGAAAAGCAAGCATTTTAGCAACAAGCATGGTTCACAGAAGCACTTACAATATTACATTGCCACACATACCAGGGAAGAACAACCTTTGAACTTTACTTTATGTGCAGTTACCGGATTGTTTTTCTATACCCCCTCCCAGTGTACTTTCCAAACCTCAATGGCAAACTTTTGAAAATCTGAGATCTCTTACTCATTTTGATGGGCAAATAACACAAGTTGTATAAAATATATGCATTACTGAAAATAAATATATTTTATTACATGTTTGCAACATACCCAATATCCTAGCGCTTTCATGATATCTAATTTACACATTGGACATGTTCTCTGTTCCAGCAACCAGGGATCAATGCACAGCTTATGGAAGACATGTCTAAAGATAGAAACACTACCATCAAAATCAAGTATAAAGACATTCTAAACCAAATTTTATATTTATAGAATAAAATCAGCTGGTCAAAAAATGATAATAAAAGCTTAATATAGGAAGTCTATTTTCATTTTGAGTTTGACAAACTTTGAATAAAGAAATGCCTCACTTGCCAATATATTAATTAGGCTCATAATTCATATCTTTACAAGATGCTATGTTCAATAACAGCACAATTATAAACTAACACAAAAATGTAATATGCAATGAAAGTTATAGGTGACATTCAGAGAACTGTTGCAGAATAGATATCAATTATGCTTCCTTGTTTGTGCAAAGCAAAATTTACATGTGTGTTTAATTTCTGTTTCATTCTCTTTTATTTAGAAGATTTCAATTACCATGAGATAGTTTCTACCTATCCCACAAGATCAGGCAAAAATGACATGTTCCACCACTGAAGCTATATTGGTTAGTGAGTTCTCAGACGTGTCCCTTTTCTATCATGGTGCCCATTTTACAGGATTAACCTCCTCCCTGACATACACAGTCAACCTTGCTGCTTTCTGCAAATCCATAAAGACCTGGCTATATTGTGGGGCCCTTGATGGTATCTGAGCTTGATTGTTACCACTAATGTTACCTAGTATCATAATGAAATGTCTGCAAGAAAACAACCAAGCTCAGAGACCACCAAAAACCTCACAGTTTAACTCAATATTCTCTTCTATTGGGACCTGGCAACTGGAGCTCTTATGAGGGTAAATTCTGCATATTTTATTTTCGTGGGACTATTGCTATTTATTTTAAGCCATTTTTAACTGATATGGCTATGATTGTTTTTATTGGTCTTGGTAAATAGGTTACTATATAAATATGTTAAATAAATAAAAAATAAAAGTTACGTATGTGAAAGTAAGCCCTGATCTCCTGATAAATTTCCTAAACAAGCAATCAAAACAGACTGATATCTCTTGTAATATGAATTATTGTTGAAATATTTTATGACCTGAAGACATAGTTAATGATCACTCATTTAAGGAGAATAGATTATCCAATGTGAGATCAATAAGGAAAATGAACCACCTCTTCTAAATATATTCTAGCAGAAATAGGTTTTGTAATGAAATTTTATAATGTTTGCCTTTAGATCTGATATTCTATTCCATAAAAAAATAGCAATTCTTACAATACTTTAAGTTGTAAAAAATTAAAAAAGAAAACTTGCCTTAACATCAATCAAAACAAATTCTCTTAAATTTATTAGATTTAGTGTATATTCCAGTTTTTCTCAGTGTGGCATACAATGTACTTCTTTCTCCTGTAACAGTCACATTGTGAGATAGATTTATTGACTCCAATCTTTATACTTGAATGAACTACATATTGGCTAATAGCTTCAATGTATGTACCCCCTTTTAAACATTCTGTGGACTTTTTTGTTAAATATTTCTAATCAAGACCCACTGAAGCAAAGTTAAAATGTTTAATAAACTTACTTGCAAGGCAGAAGTCGAACAGTATCTTTTGCTTTATAGTTTTCGATGCATATAGCACAATTTTCTGCATCAATAGCCCAACACTTAAAAAAAATAAAGCCACATTTAAGTACATTGGTAATACAAAAACAGCTTGAAATATATACACTCAGGGCCAATTCTGAGAAGAAGCAATCAATGTATTCAGTTAGGTAGTAGAACCAGAATTTTTGAAAAAATGAAAGACTAGGATAATTGTGAGCAGTGTTGCGGTCTTCTATTGTTTTTACTGAAACCCTGAATTCCATTATTTGGAACTTTGTACAAAGGAAATAGGATTTGAAAATTAAATAAGTCTAAGACCTGGAAGCAAATAGTTGTTAATTGCTTCAATTCAGTTTTGTCAATTATAATGTTTGGAAGAGCACTGAGTTGGTGGTATTTAAAACTGAGATGGCTAACTCCATGTCATACAAAGATCTACCAGACTATGTACCTCTGTTACATAGTCTAATAGGACTAGGATATGGCAGACATACTGTATAAGTATTGAAGTATATTTTCTTTCTTTTTGAAAATATATTTAAATCAAATTATCTTGATATTAGCAAAACGTGTTAACTCTGAGCCAAGGAAGTCTTGATCTGGTTGAATCTGGATGAAACAGACAGGCGTTAGAGTCTGGAAAGACAGAGTTGCTTTTTACTCCAAAGAATTCTCTTCTGGCTCTGGTGATAACTCTGGATGAGGAAGTAGCTCTGTAACTTGAGAATCCTCCTGGACTTCTAGCTATTGTAGCAAGGAAAATGGAGGCTGCATGGATATTTACCCAGATTTGGCTACTGCACAAGTTGGGGTTCTACTTGAAGCAGAAAGCTCTGCCCACAGAAACTCGTATCTTGATTGCCATTTATTGAGAATACTGCAATATTGCCATTTATTGAGAATACTATGCAGGTAATTCTTGACTCATAACCATTCATTTAGTGACAACCATGGCACTGAAAAAAGTGACTTACGACTGTTTTTCACACTTAGGACTATTGCAACATCTCCATGGTCATGTGATCAAAATTTGGTTGTTTGGAAACTGGCATGTATTTATGACAGATGCACTGTCCCAGCGTCACATGATCACCATTTGTGATCTTCCCACCTGGTTTCTGGCAGCAAAGTCAATGGGGAAAGCCAGATTTGCTAAACAACTGCATGTTTTATTTAGGAACCACAATGATTTGCTTAACTATTGTGTCAAAAAAGATCATAAAATGGGATGCACTTAACTGTCTTGCTTAGCAACAGAAATTTGGGGCTCATTGTGTTCATAATTCAAGAACTATCTGTAGGGAGCTACTTCTGGACAACCAAACTTGCAATTCATCCAAGATGCAGCCTCAAATATACTGGCAAAGCAGTGTCATTACATTCATATAACAGCTATAAAGGTACCGTGTTTCCCCGAAAATAACCTAGCTTGATTTTTGGGGTTGGACCTAATATAAGCCCTGCTCCCAGAATAAGCCCTACTTAAGAGCCTGGGCGGTCGGCCATCCACCCATTCTGTCACACCGTCTGGTTGCTAGACATGAGCCAGGGGGGAGGCAGGGGGAGCTGCTCCAAGCACCCTGCAACCGCTTACCGTGCTGAAGGGCCTGCGCAGCCAGGCCTACCATGCCCAGATACCTGTCGTGCCTCGCCTGTTCAGTAGTGGCTTCTCCCACTTTCTTCTTCTTCCTCCTCCTTTGAATAGCCTTTCGCTCCCATTGCTGCTTTTTCAATCCTGGATCTTGGTTTGTCCAGAGCCTGTGCAGAGGGTATTTTGGAAATGAAGCCCTGCAGTGATAGGGTGGGGTGGGAACCATTCCCTTCGCTTTTGGAATGGCTCCGAAATTGGCTGAAAGGAGGGGCCCGAGGGCTCCAATATGGCTTTGCAGCAAGCAAGAGGATTGGAGGCACATGAATGCATGCTAGTCTGGCATCTAAAAAAACCAGGTTTTTTCCCCCCGCTGCTGGATTTTCACTGCCATACTGTATAACTTTCTTTAAAGTTTACTTGATGCAGAATCCGGATCCATCCTGTTCTGCATCAAGTAAACTTTAAAGAAGTGAGGTTTACAGTAGCAGGCCAAGTGTGCAGATTCCCTGTACATGAGACCGGGTTTTTTTTCCCTGCTGCACAGTCAGCGGTTGCGGGGCATGTGGGGCAGCTCTTTGCCTTCCCCACTTGCGTTGCCTCATGGCAGCAGCACTGGCACAATGCTGAAGTGGGCCAGCGGCCATGCGGCTGTCGGTACCACTGCCGTGAGATGAGACAGGTGTCAGGAAAAAAATAAGACATCCCCCGAAAACAAGACCTAATGGAGGCAAAAAAATTATAATACTGGGTTTTATTTTCAAGGAAACACGGTAGTTGTCAACTTACAACTGCAAAAAATTATGCCAGACCTACCAAAAGATACTTACAATCCAAGTTCAAAGTTGTAACAGCTGCACCACTACTCTGCTCACGGTCATGTGATCAGATTTTGGGAGCTTGGCAACTGGCTTACTTTTATGGCCGTTTGCAGCCTCACATAGTCATGTGACCATGATTTTTTTAATCTTTGCTGATTTCTTGTGTTTATTTTTGGTTTCTGACAAAAAAAGGCTCCTTGGGTAAACTGAATTGCTTAATGACCACAGCAAAAAAGTTGTAAAAAAGATTACAAAATCAGGTCTGGTCATACGGCGACCCACTTAATGAATTAAAGCCATAATTCCAACGAAAAAAAAGGGATCTCAGAGGTCTTCTAGTCCAATCCCCTGCTCAAGCAAGGCAGCCTTTATACCATTTCAGACAAATGCTCAATTACAGTCAAAAGTTGAAGACTACTAGTAATTACTGCACTGGTTGCCAATAGGTATCTGTTACAATTCAAAAATTAATTTTAATCTATAAATCCCTATATAGGTTGTAGATACAAATAGGACCACCTCTTTTGCACAGAAGTAACTAGTCTGTATTGACTGGTATGTACACTCCACCCAAATTTTCTGCTATTTGCTTAAGGTGAAAAGGACATGAGCCTGTAAATAACATTTTTCATTACTTTGGAACAGCATTGTCCCAGATAAGGGACACTCTTATCTGGAAACACCATTATTTTGGGAGTTCCAAAAACTAATTAAAACTTGATTATTCTGAAAGGCATTTGGATACAAATGTCACTACGTGAATTGTATTTACTATATTTTTTATTAAACTAGGATTATTTATTTTATTAGTTTGTGATTTAGATACATTTCATGATTTTACCGATGCAAATCATGAGAAACTTACTTAGATTTACAGTTTATTGAAACACAGCAAATAAATTCAAAGATATGAAGGAATGTGTCAATAAAATACATGAGATGTGACTGTCAGTATAGTTAGTTAGCTGATTAATCACAAATTGAAAGAAAATACAACAAGTTAACATAAAGATATCTATTGATCCTACTAAATTTCCACTGATAATTTATATGGAGTAGAAAATGCATTCAACTTGAAAGGAATTACAAATATTTTTAAAAAATCATTATTAAAAATGAAGTTTATTATTCCCAATGCTAAATTTAGGTAATTACCTTATCTTCGTCTTTTAGAGTACAGAGTGGCAGCTGAGCAATTGCGCCAATTGTTTCTTCTCGCTGACCCTTAAAAAAAATAAGATATATCAATGTGTGTGTTACAAAGAAACATCTTTCTGGGCAATAAACACTGATCTAAGATCTGTCATAGCACAAGTAAGTCTGTACCATGAGGTTTCCTTGGGGCTTTCTGAGCTTGGTAGTTTTCTTGCAAATGTTTTATTACCAAAATAGGTAACACCATCAGTGCTTGAAGGGAGTGGGCTTTGCTCTTCTTTTTATATACTGGTGATTTGCCCTGTCAATGTTGCTGGGTTCTTGGTAGTTCCTAGAGTAGGCTGTGGTTTACTATTAGTATGCTTGTTTGTGTTGGTAATTCCTTGATTAGGGCAGTATTATAAGACGGAGACACAAAATGAAAATCCACAGAGTATTCTATAACGACCAAGATGAATGCAATAGCACAATTTAGATATGATAATCATTTTGCTAATATTCCCTTTTTCTGAGCCAAATAGTTACAATGGCTTTATGTTAAAAAATTAAGACTTTCAAGAATATTTGCTCAAATAGCTTGATCCATTAGTTAAGAACCATAGCAAAATAATTCCATTGGTTAATATTCAAGCAAAGGGTTTAAACAATAAGATATAATTTAACAGGGAAAAACTAAGTTTTTCAACTAGTGAAGAAAAATGTAGGATGAAAGAGGCAATTGTACAGTGAGAGAAAATATTATTTGATACCCTGCTGATTTTATAAGTTTGCCCACTGATAGAGAAATGATCAGTCTATAATTGTATTGGTAGGTTTATTTTAACAGTGAGAGACAGAATAACAACAAAAAAATCCAGAAAAAATGCATTTCAAAAAAGTTATAAATTGATTTGCATTTTAATGAGTGAAATAAGTATTTGACCCCTTCGCAAAACATGACTTAGTACTTGGTGACAAAGCCCATGGTGGCAATCAGAGAGGTAAGACATTTCTTGTAGTTGGTCACCAGGTTTGCACACATCTCAAGAAAACAATTCCTCACTCAATGTGGCCCTGGTAAGCCAAAAATCTGCACACTCATGCTCCGTGGATTCTATCTAGGTGAGGGCTGAGTAAGATGTCTTTGAAGGGCCCTGATACTCTGTGATCCTTTGAGTTATAATAGTACAGATAAACAAATAGGTTGAAGAGAGGAAAAGAGCAAGCAGCAAAAGAGAAACATGAGAAAAAAAATCACATTGTTTTCCATCATATCTGCTTTATGCCTAATTTATGTAAATCTGTACTAGAGAAACTGAAGTTGCGAGGACTAAAATCATGAGCTTATTTCACTGTGTTTGCTCAGCAGAGCCATGCAAAGTGTTTGAAATGTAATACATAGGAACAAGGACAAAGCATTTAAAAAAAATTGTTAATGCAGTTATGCTAGAACAGGGGTGTCAAACTGCTGGTCCGCGGGCCGGATGCATCATGCCGAAACCGCACCCATCCCATTGCCGGCAACGGGAAAAAAATCACAATAAGTCGCAACAAATCACATGACATTGCGAGTTTGACACCCCTGTGCTAGAAGTAGCTCAGGAGCAGCTGTTTCAACAATTCAAATACTGTTAAGTGTTTGTACAATACCTGCTTGTTGAAAAACTTATTTTGACAGTTCTGTACAGTCTCAGCTTGTAGTATATTGTTAAATTAATTAAAGAGGCAGTTCAACTTGGTTACACCTCCACAGATAATAGAAAAATAATAATTAACATAACAATTAGTTTCATCAACTGAAAATAACTGCTACCTAACTCTCGCTTAAAGTACTAATCTGAACTATAATTTTCAGGTATATCTAGTTCTGGAAACAAGTTATAACAGATAGTAACAGGCAAATTTCAGGTTAAACAGCATTCAAAGATTAGGCAGGAAGATGCATTAACATTACACAAGGTAAAAAGATAATCACCACCAATAATTACCTGGCTTCTAAACTGTGATCCAGTATAGAGAAAACGTTGAACGTAAAAAAATATAAGCCATGCTAAAGATATAATCATCATTGTGATAAACGCAATTGCTACAAACACAACTGACTGTCCGTTGATATATTCTTGTACATGTTGTTTACCAACACTAATAGTCATTTTTACTGGAATTCCTCTTAGGACTGGCTCCAGGATCTCCATTCCTTTTGGATACCCAACCATAATTACTACTGTATTAGCAGTACCTATTGGAAAGAAGAAAAACAGGAATCAGATGCACTCTTCTACATCTCTTATTTGGTGAAAGAAACTCAGGCTACAGTATCTTACTGATAATTATAAGTAAATTAAAATTGTTCTTGCCATAGTTTTATTTCCAAGGTCTCTTGGTCCCAAGAATCTGACTAGGAACTAAAGGGGAGTAGGTAAGGATATCTGCTAGAATGATCACCTCCTGCCCTGAAGTATAAAAATTAAATCTGCTCATCTTTTTTAAGCAAGACTTTTTTCCTTGTGCAGCCTCAGTTGCTTTGGAATATACACAGATTGCTACAACAAAATGATAAAGCATGAGTATGCAAAATAATTAAAATAGAATTTAGACAGTACTTAAGATTCATGTTAAACTTAATTGAAATGTTGGCAGCATTTTTTCTGCCACATATGTTCCAAATATTTAAGATGCTGGCCCATGATTCATTTCTAGTATTAGGCAAGAATGGTTCACATTTAAAGAAAAAAATCTGAGGTCTGAAAGGAACAGGACAGTGATGATTTCTACTGGATGGACATTGGGAGTTTTTACAGCTCAGTTTATTTGGGCTTCACACTACTGGAATAAAATAATTGTATTTAAATAGGTCTGCAGTTTTTTTTTAAAAAAATATATAACTATAAACATAAAAGCATTTTAATGAGAAAATCCAGTTTTAGATTTTGCTATTTAACAGCATTTTATCAAGAATGCATTCCAAATGTGCTATGAGAAGGGGAAGTGGGCTATGATTTAACCCTATTTTTTCCAGCCCAGTTTTTCCCATGATCTCTGCCTCCCCCCAATTTCCACATCTGTTACAGCTTCTGTGGGCTTCAGAACTAACTGGAAATTCATATATTTTGCTTTCCTGATGGAACAGATATATTTATCATTTGTTGCTTAGACATCAGCAACATGCAGTTTTTCTATTATGTCCTTAACATTTTATATATATAGCAAATACTGAAAAATCCACAGTAAAGCTACCTGGTGTTTCAAAACTTTCACTGTAGCCCAGTGGTATTTTGAATTCCTCTGCCTCCAGCATACCCCTCCAGAATATATGTAGCCATTCTGAGACACATTAGGAATCTCAACAATAAAACAAACAAAACTAAACGAAAAGAAAAGTTTTAGAAAAAAACACAAAAACATAAAGCCTTTGCAAGTCTTACAGGAATCATATAATTGCGTTAGCAATGAGGCCATTGGAAACAATTAAGACAATAATCCTCTCATAAACTAATTTGACTAACCAAAAATTAAAAAGTTTAATAAAATTCAAGAAAAATGGCCTAAGATAGAAAGGGCCCACCAGATGTTACTGAATTATAACTCCCAGCAGTCCAGACAACATAGACAATGAGGGTTCAGCCACATCTGCAAGGCCAAAATCCACTTTCTTCTATAAACAACTTCACTGTTTTTCTCAGCAAGAATATCCAAAGTTGACTTCCTACCCATCATATAAAGATAATATGCCATCCTAGAATTTACACACAATATTGGTCAGAATTTTTACAATTCTTAAATGATCTGAGGCAATAAATGATGCTTAGTTTCACTAAAACTGAAAAGCACATCATAATCATCAAAACTTAATATAATGGTCATAACAAATTCTTCATATAGAAATTCATTAAATAGCATGAGTCTAATTAGCCTAATTTTCTTTGTGATACTTGAAATAGCATCATTTTTTCCATAAAAGGAGCAGAATTTTGTTACATCCCATCCAGTTTCTTGACTCAACCAATAGCTCCTTGTTATCGCATCACAGGAAAAAAAAACCTGTAATTACATCTACCCGTAATTTCCAACCTTCTTCTGGGTGACTGTCTGAAGAGTTTGCTTCATTTTAAAAAGAGGACTAGGGTCTTGATTTTGCACCCCAGAAATAAAAATATTTTCTAGTTTGGCTATTTAAGGATGAATATGATACTTTCCATGTAGGCTTTTGAGATATTTGGCAAGACAACTGGTGGGAGAAGTCTGAATGTGCTTTTGCTTTGATTCAACCTCCTGCCCTTAACTTTCTACTTCTACATGTGAAAATTGTAGTTAAACCCCACTTTTATTTCACAATATCCTATTCCAAGTTAATGCAGGCTCCTCCTCCCCCTTGACCAAATGGCAACAGGTTGATCAAGGCCGGTTCCAAGATTTCATTCATACCGAGTTTCGCCACTTCAGAGGGAAAAATCCTGTTTTTACCTTCCCAGTCCCTTACCATCGCTGTCGGCACCCACCCAACCCCCTTCGCGACAAAAATAGTTTTCAAATTACTTTCCTTATTTCTCCCCTCACTACACTGACCGAGGTACGACATAGAGGTAAGAGTGGAGTTGCCAAACTGAGGCTCGTTGTAGATGACCACGGCGGCCGCTTTCCTTCTTGCTGCGTTGGCAACTTTGTCCTTCAAGGGGCAGCCTCCGAGGGCCACCAAGGCGATCCAGGACTGAGGCGGCGAGAAGGGCGCTCCCGCCTTTTTTTCTCCCGAGGAGCTTCCGGGCTGCATGGGTATCTCGTATTCCACCTTCGGGTCGCAGCCCGCCATGTGGTGGGCTGTTCCGCCGCAAGGGATGCCCACTAGGCCCTGCGCGCTCTCCTTGGGCGAGCTGTTCCCGTAGCGCCCGCTTTCCGCACTGTCCCGCACCGTGCGGTTGGTGCCCGGCTCGGTGTACACCGTGCTCACCCAGGCTGTGTACCAGACCAGCGACCAGGAGACCCGCGGGCATCCCCCCACCGCCAGGAAAAGTAGCGTCACGCGGTGCGACGGCACCATTGTTTCCGGATGTACAAGGCGGGCGAGCGAGCCAGCCGGTGTCTGAGACGGAGTGGTCTCGCCCGCTGACTTGGGATACGGGTTTCGGCGGCGTAAGCAAGCGCTTCTGGATTGCCGCCTTGCCCAAGAGGCGGCCCACCTTGCGGGCAGACCGGCGCCTGAGCTTGGGAGAAAGAGGCGGTGACTAAGTTCCCTCAGGTTCATCCTTTTTCTCCTCCTCCGCGCCAGGTTTCCGAGCGCTTCGGCCGCGCGCCTTTACGCGCGAGCATTTCTAGCCAGGTTTCCAAAGAGGATTAGAAAGCTCGGGAGTCTTCGACTGCAGCCGAGCGGAGTCGCGGGGCTCAGCACTCCGACCTCGAACGCTTATTACGTCTTGCTTGCAACTTGCGACTCTGCTTGCGCTTTCCATCTCGGCGTGCGATTCAGCCGCTGAAGTCTTTCCCCGTAGAGCAGAGGTGGGGAACTATGGCCCTTTTACGATCTGTGAACTTCAACTCCCAGAATTCCTGAGCCAGCCAGTTGAAGTTCACAGATGGTAAAAAGGCCATAGATCCCACCCCTGCCGTAGAGCAAGCCAGTAGAAAAAAGGGCCTGTTTCAGGAGAAATAGCGTGGGATGAAATGGGTGAGAGACTTTGTTCCTGCTCTGTGGACTTCAGAGTTACGTTTCGGTGCGCGAAAGAGGCCCCATTAAAGCGAGCCTCTAAGAAGGCCAGCTCGTCGTGAAAGCTTTTTTATTCATTAGCAGGGCTTTGTTTAGCATTTTCGGCAGCACTTTGAGGAATTACGCTAGTGTTTGTCAACCTTGGCAAATTTAAATGTAGCTGACTGGCGAATTCTAGGAGTTGAAGTCCGCCCATCATAAACTTGCCGAGGTTGATGATTACTGAATTACACTAAAATCCCTATACCCTCCACCCTTTCACTTTTTGATTGAAAGCTAAGTTTTGTTGTAGAAAAGTTGATCTGGGGCTTAATTGCAGACATAAGAATTCAATCATTTGAAAACCTTGGTACACACGTGATGACTTTTGTCACCAAGCATATATTTGTCCCCCCACCAACGCTTATTGAATCTTCACATTCTCCTTAAAGCAATGGTAGATAAAAAAATTTAACTCTGAGAACAAGCCTTGAAACTGATTTCATCCTTACTCTTGTCACATTGAAAGTTTGTACGGTAGTCGGTCTACATTAAAAGGAAACTAGCATAAATGATTACATATGTAAAGAAAACACTACACATATGTATGCTTTTTTTTGCTTTTTTTTTGCTTTTATGAAAAACCACATTGGGACATTAAGATTATACCCTCATTTATTGTTATTATCTTGTTTTATATGTATGCCTGCTTTTGGCATTTAATCAGCTCAACTTTTCTTTTTCAATGATCTTGAATTGTGATTACAGTTCTCAGATTTCCAAACTAATTGTGGTTATAGTACTATTGGAAACAATGTTTAGACTTAAAATATAAATGACTGAGTTCATACCTTATACCAGGCAATAATGTACTTCATTAATAAAATAATTCTCATTTCCATTAATACTTTATTAATATTTGATTGTATTAACATTTAATGTTTGATTAGTGTGTTACAATGATCATGTTGTTCATAAGTGCAAATGGACAAGTAGGGCAAAATAAGGAAATGTTTTATCCAGTTGAGGAAAATATTTTTGAAATACATTCTTTGGTTAACTAACAGTAGATAAAATAATGCTTAGTTCTTCCACAAGCACTATATTACTCGTTGTGTAATTGTACCCAGTTACAATTATAATTTTAAATAATTTTTCACCAAAAATATAGCTGATATAAAATATGATAATTGTCATGGGGCTGTTTTGTTAGAAAGCTTAATGCCTGCTAGTCTTCAAACATTAATATTACAGATGTATAACTATATTAAAATACTATCATGTTAAGTCACAGATTCTGATCCTGAACACCCCTTTTATGATTGAATACATAATGATTTTACTTTGCCAGTCAAGATCAACAAAATTAAGATCTCCATAGGAAATTTTACACATTTCATCTTATGCCATCACTAAATCACAACTAGGGAAATGTTAGGTGAAGAAAACTTCATTGAGGAGTTTAGCAGACACTTATTCTGACTTCTATATTTTAATAGAGACTATAAGGAAAAAATGGGCCTCTTTTAAGGTGGAAAGCTGTATGAGGATCCCTCCATTTAAGTGCAGGAAATGCCTCAACCCAACACTGGTCCAAAAAATAATGGCTCTGAGAGATGAGCAGTCTCTAAATTTGATAGAATAAAAAAAAAAATAAGTAAGTAAATGAGTAAATAAATAAATATACAGTTCATTAGGTGGTATGGTGGCTCAGAGTTAAGATGCTGAGTTTGTTGACCCAAGCTCCATGTGATGGGGTGAGCTCCCGCTCTCACCCCAGCTCCTGCCAATCTAGCAGTTCAAAAGCATACAAACGCAAGTAGATAAATGGGTACCACTTCAATGGGAAGGTAACAGTGCTCCTTGACCACATGACCGCAGAAATGGACAGCCCTGGTTCAATGGCCTTGAAACGGAAACGAGCACCACCCCCTATAGTTGGCAATGACTAGCAGAGTCAGTAGACTCCTACCTTTAGTTTCCAAAGCTTGCAAAGTAGAAAGGACTCAAACTTTGCATATGGGAAGGTGAGGAAGCAAAATAGATTCTTCACACATTGCAGATGTTTAAAGCCTCTATTTCTATTTTCAAAACTATTGAAACGCCTCCCAAAATACTTCTGGGCACAACCCACTTTGCAGTCAACAAGCTACATAAATCCTGTGTTGCCCATATGCAAATGGCATATACCCCAAACAGGTAATTGAAGGTATGTGTGTTGCTTTTATCTTGGCACTATGAAAGCCATATTTGTGTGAGATACCAGGACATTTTTACAAAATATGAAGACAACCCAGAATAGTTAAATCACATTAAATCTGGGGCATAAATTAATACTGTGCTATTTACAGAAATTATACCATTGCTAAAGATCTGTTGTATAATGCTGTATATAAAATAATTGACAAACACAATCTTCTATGCCATGTTAAAAGATTTATGCTGCTCTTACAAAAGAAGCATCCTCACTTTTTGAATGTGCCAATTTTTAAATTATAAATCGCTTATTTAACACATGATCATGCTAAATAGTTTTTATTTTTCTAGTGTTTGGTATGAAGGATCTAAATGAAATTCTTAAGAGCAACTTGATGATGTCCTTTGTTCATCACTCTAAAAATACATGATATCTCACCAAAGGCACAAAAATGCATCATTGTCAATATACAGTACTAGTGAAGCACAATCAAACCAATATGTCATTCTGTTTTACTCTGAACAGCGAGTGCATGCACATTATAATATTTTATTCATAAATAAGAATAAAATCTATTGATCCATCTTTTGCTTACCACATGGCTTCTTAAAATAATTAATCATTCCAGTACAGAAAAACCTTCTGAAATTTACTATGGAGATAAGGAATTTACAAGTTTCAATTGACTTTTTCTTGGATATAAGCAAAATAAAATGGTTAAAATATCTAATTTAGAGCATTTCTAGATGCAATAATCCATTATTGCCTATTAGTTATCAGTTCCGATCATCATGAACATAATGCTACAGTATGAAAAGTTGATATAAATGTAATAAATCACATTACTGGGAGGTGTAGGAGAAACATGAACACCTGAAACTGGCCTGGCTCCCAAAACAATCCCACATATTAGGTGATGCAGGGATTATAAATTATAAATTATATTACAGAGTCCCAAAAATGCTTTTTTCACGAGGTAACTGGACTTTCTTGTTTTTCTTTGAAGATGTTTTGCTTCTCATTCAAGAAGCTTCTTCAGATCAGACTGGATGGTGGGGAATGGCAGGATTTATACTCCTTGGGACCATTTGCACTACTCAGGTAACCCTGATGACACAGATAAGCCTACAGGGATTTCAATGACTCGCTAAAAGAATGCAAATGTCCAGCTGTCTGCAAAGAGAATAAATCCTGCCATTCCCCATCATCCAGTCAGTGCTGAAGAAGCCTCTTGGATGAGAAGTGAAACATCTTCAAAGAAAAACAAGGAAGTCTAGTTGCCTCGTGAAAAAAAGCACCTTTGGGACAACCATGACCTGGATGACTGAAAATCTCCATAGACATTTATATTACAGAGGCTATTTAAGAATGTCTAGTCTCTTCTTCTATATTAACTGGTCCCAAAATAAATTATACCTTAACTTTTAAAAAGAAGTTGTTTTTTGACATTTTAAAATATCAGCATAAAAAGGAAGAATGCCTTATCGTGGACTAGTAATATCTTCAACTTGGCTGGGTTGAAGTTGCCACATTTAATATGTATGTGAGTATTAGGCTGACCTGGTCAGATACCTCTTCTCTATTCAAATCTCTGAGAATTCAGTGACAAAGCTTATGCTTCTATTTTTAATTACCTGTAGTATCTCATTGTGTCCAAATGAGAGGAGGACTATACTTCCCCAAGAGACTAGATTTGTAATGTGGGAGGACTTGCTCAGTTTTAGCTGTCTTAAATTTGTAGGGTTTTGATTTAAACCTTGCTACAGTGAGGTGTGCTTTTACACAATGATATACCTGTTTTGGCAGCCATGACAACTCATCAGCCATAGGATTAGGGATGATGTTTTGTGCCTTGATTGTGTTCCATTTCAAGTAATGCAGTACTCAATAGTGGGCAATTCTTGAAAAAGTAGAACTGCAAATTAAAAATAGAACGAGTACTGCACTGATACAAATGTAGTTGCTAGAATGCTGTCAAGATGCCAGAAACACACAATGCCTTTAGTGAAAGATCTACATTGGTTGCCAGTGCTTTAAAATGTTGGAACTTACCTTTAAATCCTAAACAGCTCAGGGCCTTTTTCTCTAATGGAACACTTGCTCTGTTATTACCATGCATACTAAAGGGACCAGCAGGAACAGCCCTCTTGAAGATATTCTC